TAAGGTTAATGTAGATTTTTTAAAAAATCATTGTGATAGAAGCACCATATTGAAAATATGAAATAATAAACTCAGACTATGTCAGAAAATGCCTCTATGTTTCTTTAGTTTATGGTTCAGCACAAGAAACATTTTATAGGAAAGAAATAGGAGAATTTGAAGCTGAATTATATACAAATGATGAATATGTAATTGCCAGAATGTAGAAACTTTGCTGAAATTTGAAATGGAAGATGTACAAGTGAAAGAGATTATGGAAAAAGGAAACTTTAATGTTAACCTTAGAGCAAGAGAGGGTAAAATATAAATGGACTTATTGCTATTAAGAAGATTGGAATGCATTTCTTTATTGCTTCTTTTTTCTTTTTCCTTCTTTTCTATCTCTTCTTTTTACACCTTTCTATTACTTTTCTCCATTTGTCTTTTACTTAAAATTCATATTCCTTTTACTACCGGTATATGAAAAAATATTTAATAAGAATCATTATCTATTTATCTGCCAGTGTCTTTCTGTTTTTCTGTCTGTCCATCCCTCTATCTATCTATCTATCTATCTATCTATCTATCTATCTATCTACCTACCCATCCACTCACCTACCTACCTACCTACCTATCATCTATATCAGTGGTTCTCAACCTTTTTAATGCCACGACCCCAACCGGTCATAAGTCAAGGACTACCCAACCGGTCGTAAGTCAAGGACTTTCCCTGCCCGGGAGCGCCACGCATGTGTGGTGCCGCCCCCTGCGCCGGTCGAGGCGTAGCTGGCAAGCGGCAGAGATGGTGCAGGCCGACCACCAGCTGGGCCACCAGCTGGCCCAGCCCAAGGGAGGTAAGGCATTCGCCAGGCCCCACGCGTGCCAGCAACCCTCGCTGTGCCCTCCGGCCTCCCACCTCCCACCCCTGGCCCTCTTTTACTTACATTTTTAGTAGTTGCTCAGCAGGGAGGGGTGTAAACTTCCAGACAGCTCACCTTCGCTGCAGACAACTTGCAGCACCGTTTGCAGAATGGGACTTTTGGCGGGGTCAGCAGGGCAGAGACAGCCTGGACAATTCCTATTGGCTTTTGAAAGTCAATAGACTTAGACTCTATTCAAGAGAGTCTATTCTATTGACTTTCAAAAGCCAATAGAATAAAAGGGAGTAGCACAACCAAGGAAAACGGGAAAAAATGGCGGACTGCGTTGTTTGGTGACCCCCGTGAAATGGTCATTCGACCCCAAATGGGGTCCCGACCCACAGGTTGAGAACCACTGATCTATATCATCATATGACAACTTCATAGTTGCAATAAAGCAATTCTTCGTGCATAAAGCTTTAGGTACAAATATGAAGCTTGCTGCTGGCAAATTATTGGTACATCTTTCTCATTATAACATTATAATTCATGAGATTATTTCCCTCTTATGTTGTAGGTGATCCTTTCAACTTCCAGTGCCAGAAATTGAATTTCTGCTCTTTAAGAAGAGTATCTGAAATTCTGTCATATACTGTATTATATGACAATGTAGCAAAATATACAGGATGTTCAGTTTCATGCAGTGCTTTTTTTTAAAAATTCTTTGTAGCTACCTGTTGCAGGGTGCGGTACCTGTGGTGACCAAGTCCCTTCACCTGATGAATAGAACTATCCTTCACTCTCAGATGTTTAGAAGCAGAAACTCTGCTCCAATTCTTTGTCCTCTGTGGCATCTCTGAATGACTTCAAGTCAGGAACTCTCACAAAACGTCATTTGTTCCAATATAATGCCTTTTTAATTTAAAGTTTTCATTAGGAGGCGTTTTTTTTTAGTCTAGAGGAATAAATAATGCATTATTTAATCATGCATGCCAATTTACACATTTATAATTTGATCAAGACAGAATGGAATGGGGAAAGCGGAAGGGGGGGAATGGAAGATAATTTTGTGTTCTTGGATGAATTATGAATTATTACTGGAGACAGACAGAGATGCAGATCATTGGTCCATGTGGTTGGTCTACAGGAGTCAAAATAGCTTCAATAGATTCTCTCACTTCCCCCTCTTGAACATTGGGGAGGTGGCAAATCCAATGACCCTGAGCCCATTCTGAAGCTTCTTCTGACCACGCTCACTCTTTGGAAGCTAAAGTGACAATAGTGTACAATCCAACATCAATTAAGCATAGTTTATAACGAAAATACCCTTTTGAAAACTTTTTTTAAAAATCCAGCCAAAAACAAATTCTATATTTGCCATCAGCTCATATTGTATTATTGTCCCAGTAACTCCAGTCCTACAATACCCCACTATCAAGCACAAGGAGCTAGAATAGCAATAGCAAGAGCGATAGCACTTAGACTTATATACAGCTTCACAGTGCTTTACAGCACTCTCTAAGTGGTTTACAGAGTCAGCATATTGCCCCCAACAATCTGGGTCCTCATTTTACTGATCTTGGAAGGATGGAAGGCTGAGTCAACCTTGAGCCAGTAAGAATCAAACTCCTGGCTTGGGCAGAGTTAGCCTGCAATACTGCATTCTAACCACTGCACCACCACGGCTTTTAGAATAGAGTTCAAAAGCACTGACAGTTTATTCCATGAAACCTTTGTACAAAAATCTGATCTTCTAATGGTTAAACTGGCAAAAATGATGTCATATAAGAATGGGAAACTAGTCTTAGGTCTCGTTTGAAGGTGTAGGGACTCCAGACTGATGATGCATTTGACCCCGTTCTTGGGCTCAGCCTGATCATCTCCTACATTAACCACTGGTCAGACTAAATGAACTACCAAACAGTTCCAGGAATTGAGTCCAACATTTATATTTCTCTTTGTTGATCTTCCCATTAAATTCTGTTACCAGTCATTGATTGGTGTCTGGGAATTCTGTTTCATAGCTTATTATCAACCAGAACCTTTTGCAGAATATGATTTTAAAAAATCCAAATGGTGACTGTAATAATGTGTTTGGAGCTCCACCTTGTTCCTGGACCATGTGAAAAACAGTACTTCAATTGCACTGTCATAGTAGACACCTTGACTTTTTTTTAACCTGGTAATAGCAGTTATTAGGTTGGGTGTCAGAATGACTCAATAACGTTTATTAACAAAACTGGTGAGAGCTTCCCAATCTGTGAGTTAGTCACTGCCTGCAGCATAATTCACAGTGATAGAATTTATTTATTTATTTATTTGTTTGTTTGTTCGTTCATTCATTCATTCATTTTAACAGATTTACATAGATGTCCATTTTAAGTAATTCTGAGCAGCTCACCAAGCAATAAAATCAATAAATAAAACAATCATAAATCCGTAAAAACAGTGAAGTAATAAAACAAACAGAATAAAACAGAATGCTGATTCTATGTAGGCTTCCCTTTCTTCTTCTCTTATGAAAATCACAGATGATTAGACCACCTACACAATCTCAGAGAGTTGGTGATGAATTAAACCACTTGGTGGGCTTGGCTACAAATCAGTGACAAACATCTGTCCAAGAGTGATGACAAGATTTTAGATTGGAAAAATAATTATAGAAGGTACAGTGTATCAAAAGCAAGAGATATAACCCACTAGATCTAACTGAACTTCATGGTTCAACTGTCACGGTCCTGCCAGCTTGGGATGGCAGGACCTTTTAGCAATATTTAGAGAAGTGCAATTCCACATTATTCTGAGGCATATACGTTTCTTACACCCGATAAGATTAATTTATTTACAGTGACCATAGGTTCCTTTTTAATAATGGATAATCCTTTGTTTCAGTAAGCTGCCCGTTAGGTTTATTTTTCAAAATGGCCTAGACATTGATATTTGAACATAGGTCTTTTTAACATTTATATTTTACTGTGTTTACTAATCTAGCTGAAATGTAAATATATATATTGCTATTCTATGTATGATATGCCATACGCCAAATACATTTTTGAAAAACTCACTTTTGCCCTTCATTCATACAAGGGATACTAGTTAATGTGCAGTCTTTCACATTCATGTGAAAAAAAAATGGAGATTGAAATTTCTTTTTTAAATAAAATTACATATACTGTTAGATTTTACACATTTTATTAGAATATGCATTTCTATAAAGCTCTTCTGAGTTTTCCTCCTGAATTTTCCTTTATAAAGCAAAGTTATACGCATTATATGAACCTCTTTCAGATTTACCCCTTTTTCAATGAAGTAAGTAAAATAGCTTGCTTAAAGAAACACAGTATAAACAACAGGCTGAGGTGATAGTTATAGACTGCTGATATTCAAAATTTCTGCATCTTTTTTTTCTTTTCTTAACTTGGGTTATTGAAATAAAAAAAACATTAAAGAAAATAGTGTGGTTGGTTAGTTCATAATTGGGTGCATGAAAATGAATCCAGAAAATGAATTCATTCAGTAAGCAAATTATGTTTAACACAAATTAAGTTAACTATCATTCTGAACTCAAACTGAGAAGTAATTTCAATTCCATGAGATACACTATTCTTAATTTATTAAAGCACAACATAATCCCTCTAATGGCAGCACTTAGCTGATCTTAATTGACCTTGGAAAGCTAAGCAGAGTCAGATTTATCTAAGAGTAAAGTCCAACTTGAAAGTACTACTTTTTGCTTTCTGGACTTCAAAAAAAACAACAAAAAAAGCTGATCTCCAAAACATGGAGTGCATTCATTTCAGTTATGGGCAAAAAGAGTGATGAAACATAACCTGCAGACCTAGACCCATGTGGGTCACACCAAACCCTTGAAGGAAGCTCAGGAGACTAAATCCAAATTGTATTTTTAATGCAAAACAACCAGAAAATGAGACATTTTTGTAATACTTAATCCATTTAAATTGTAATTAGGTTTGTTTTTAAATCACAGGTAATCTTTGTTCATATTCCACCACTGTTTTGGCTTAGTTTCTACTTCTTGGAGCACATTGTACTGCATTCCCCCCTCGGGGTGTCTGCAGTGGGATCAAAATAATCAAAATGGAAGCCTCACCACACAACTGAAGTCTTACCCCTTTTTCACATCTTCACTGTTTGACCTGCCAAAAGCCAAGTCCAGTTGTGTGTCCCTGGTCTACAGAAACTTTATTGAAGAAGTTATTGTACTGATAAAGGAGAATATTTGTGGCTCAGGGTTCAAATGAGGGATCCTTGGTGCTCTCTGAGCTTGGTTGCTTTCTTGCAGACATTTGATTATCCAAACTAGGTAACATCATCAGTGCTCTCATGTCACAAGTTGTTGTGCCCCCCACAGACTTGGTGCTGTGTTTATTAATGATGTATATCTGGTTGCCAAGGGTTACAAGAGGCTTCTGGATACTGAAATTCCAAACAGGAGAATGGGCCAATGCACAAGTCACTCCATGAAGAAAGGAGAGTTAGAAGAATATCAGGTAAGAGGCGTCCATTCTTCAACTCTAACCATTGGTTCTCATCATTATTCATGCCTTGTCAAAGGCAGACATGTAGAACAGTGACCTCCAGTCTTTCAGGTACCAGGGAGTGATTCTGTGGGGGGGAAATTTCCATGGAGCAGGAGGACATGGTTTCACGCATTGCCTAGATCCCACACATGCGCAGATGAAGCTTCGTTCACTTGCACCACTCAGTTCATGACAGACCATGGACTGGTACCGGTTTGCAGCCCAGCAGCTGGGGACCCCTGATATAGAACACAAAATCATATTCAGCTAAGTGGTGTCACATCATCTTGACAAAAACCCAGAACCCATTCCATATCCAACCAGTAGGAAGCCATAACTAGCTATGATGTGATTGAAATGTCTGCCTCACTTGTATGTTCAACTATAGTATTGGTAGGCTGATTGAATTATGATTTCTCCAGAATTAACAAAAATGAGGCCTAGATAAATTAAGGCAGACATGGGCAACTGGTTGACCCAGAACTTGTTCCCATTTTCTCCTTGCTTCAAGGTTTTGGGAAGCAGAATGCCAGAGTGCCATTGATTCAGTACGGTCATCAAGATAGATAGGTCACAGAATATCATGTTTTGAGGTTTATGTAATGCTTTGTTTTCAACCACAAAGAAAGTATCTCTTTGTTTTTCTGTAGCCCAGTTTCTGGAAAGTCTGGGGAAATAAAGGAACATATGCAATCTGTTGTCTGCAGTTGCCCATCCTACAGTTAGGGATACTCAAATCTATCATGCAGCCTACAGAACAGGTTCCTATTCCGCCCTTTCAGGAGGTCACATGACTCTGAATATGAGTAACTGAGGAAGGATAACAAGAATATTGCTATAATGCTATGCTCCTGGGCTTTCCAGACATTCCCAGATAATTAAACAGGATGCTGCAGTAGGTAGGCTTTTTATTTTTATTTTTTTATTTTTTGAAATGTATTTTATTTTGAGAACTTCTGTTTGTACAAAATTAGCATAATTCAGAAAGGTAAAAAAACAAGTTGCTTTCTTCCAAACATTATTATATACTTATAAAAATGCAAAAAAACAAAAACAAAACAAGTACATTTGTTCCAGTCTGTTCAACGTGAAGAGTGATTTATTAAGCAACCTTGGTTTACTTATTTTCTTATGCTGAGGTATTCACTGTAGAGTATTGTGACCGTTGAGGTGAGAAACAACTGACCATTGAATATATAAGTCAAGATTTTCCCTTCAAAAACTAGTTACATATCTAGTTTCCCATCCTAAGCAAAAGTAGAGAAGATTCAGGTAGGCTTTTTATTAATGAAGCTTAAATCTTCTGAGATGGCTCTATCCAGAACAGGGAGATCGTGTTCAGTCCTCCATCTTTATAGAAGAATACTTGTTTTATTTCTCTTGACACATTGAGGAGAGTCTCCTAAAGCCACATGACTATTCTCTTACCTCTCTGATAAATTCCACATATTTTATGAAAACATTATTTTAACTTTCCTAGGATATCAGAAATAATGGCCAAGGAAAGCTTTTCAAATTTATCTTATGTATTCTTATGTGCAAAACCAGGTGATTTCTGCCAACATTGGCTGATAGGCCAAATATATGGTTGTGTTTGCATTCATTTTTTTTGTGTCTGTGTGTGTTTAAAAGAAGCAGGTAGGTTCTCTCTATCCCATCACACTGGCAATGAAAATAAGGATGGCTCATTTTGTAGTATGACATCTTTGTCATTTCCTGCAGGTGTTGACATTTCTCACCAAAGGAGAAATACTTCGGTAAGTTGATCTTTAATTTTATTTCGCATAGTCTGAGTCTTGCTATAAGTAAAGAAGACCAATCCAGATCATAACAACAGTGGCTGCAAGAAGCTGACATTAGTATTCTAATTTAAATTGGATGCCCAGTTTTTGTTCATAGATGTTAAGGACATCTATAAAATCAAAGCAGTTTTGCTCTGGGTTAGTGATTTGAGTCATCGTGTAGGGTTATATGGCTCCTATTTAATGAGAAATAAGAAACTCTTGATCTCACAATAGAACTTGGAATCATGGTTTGCTTTTCTGATTTGCCAGGGGGTTGCAAAAATTGCAGCCAATTAGCCATGAAGTTACTAGAGGATTATTGGTGTGAAATGTTTGGTCTTTTGTTGTTTGTTTTGAGGAGGGTTTTCAAAGTGTGAAATCAATCCCTTAAACCATTGCAAAACTAGTCATTAATTTTGATCTTCAGGTGCTGAAAACACATAATATTGATATTTTGGCTACATCCCGAGGGAATGGGGAGGTAGGCAAATACATCTATCATACATACTTCTTGCATGGTGTTAAGTTGCTTGAATTTTAGGACCTATAATTACCTTTCATAGTTACTTGTGAAGATCCAATCCATTAACCATTCAAGGGTTATTTATACTCTTAAAGGCCCTATTGATGAACACAGGTAGCTCAATTTGAAGCCATATACTAGTTAGCACACAGGTTTAGTTCTCAGGCAGAGGATTCACCCAGCTTGAACTAATCTGTGATATAATTGAGGGTCATGGTGTCAGCAGAGTGCTTTCTAACAAGTAGACTGATCCAGTAAATTAGGACCTTGGCAAAATTTTCTTAGTTCTGAAATAAGTAACAGCTTATTCAAAGCAAACAAACAAAGAAGCATTTGATGGCATTCCAGCAAATTAAGTCAGGATAGGCTTATTCCAGAACAAAAACAGTGCTATTAGAAGATACTGTTTCTAAGTAATATGAAATCAGAGGGTCTTATTTAATTGGGAAGCTGACTAACATTTTTTACCTTTGAATTAATTTTGATTCCTGATGACAATATGTACCAGTCCATTAGGTTTTCCAAGTAATGTTTGTACTACTTACAACATATTTGCCATTGTCTTCTTCCTAAAATTGAGAGAACATGAATGGCCCAAAGTACCTTAATTTGATAGCATGTGTTAAATTTTATGGTTACAACGAAATTATTCAGTTAATAAAGTGGAGGGCTGCAAAAACCAGCTTTTCTGGTTAGTTACTTCCTATTTTCCCTTCTAAAAATACAAAAGAGAAAAAAATCTGTTTTGAAATATTCATGAGCTAGCATCAGTAAATGCCTGAGCAAACTCTGAAATAAGAAACTTATTTGGTAGTTTTCGTACCTTGCTTCAGGTATTGGTTTTACTTCTTTGTGTTTTACCAAGACACCCAGATCCTTTGCAAATGTACTGTTATCCCTCATTGGTCTCCTGCATTTTATACTCATGCTTTTAATTAGTCCTACCCAAATATGGTACATTTGTATTTGTCCTTCTGAAATCCCTGTTGTTGGCCTTTGCCCATTCTTTTAAGTGTTCCAGATCTTCCTGAATCTTGAGATTGTTCTTTAAGAGATTTGATAAATTAATAATCAGTTTTTGTAATTTTGTAATTTTGTAAGTGACTTATAAATATGTTGAACATTACAAGTGCTAAAATGGAATCCCACCTTGTGTCACTTGCCCCTTCCTTCTATCTTGATGCGGAGTCATTGACAAACATTCAATGGTTATAGTTTGTTAAATCAATTCTGCATCCATATAGCGGTAGAATAATTCAGGTCACATTTTGTGATCCTCTTTACAAGGCTCTTAAGAGAGACTTTGTTGCATTCTTTGGCAGAGTTAAGGTTATTACAGAATCCAAAAAGTACTTATAAGAATTATCTTTGCAATCAGTTGCTTGCTTTTGATATTCTTCTCTCTTTTCCCAGGCTAGATCCTTCACTAGGAAGGAGTGAATAAAACACTAATTATTCCCCCAGCTCCTTCAATGTCCTGGTCTGTTCTTTCTAATATCTTTCAGCATCTTTGAATCTGTAACTATCTATATTATTTGTTCCCAGGTGGATCTGTAGATATTTGTCAAAGGGCTTAAATAATCTTTAGAGCTTTTTTATTACATCTTGAATATGTGCCCAGGAAAGGAACACATGTCTCTTGATCTGGAAGTAATGGAGTAGGCAAAATGGTGTAGCAGTAGACAAAATTTAATCCCTACACTATTAATAAAAACAGTATGTCAATGTTCTTATTAGCAGAAGCAGCATAAAAAGTGTTGTTCATTAGTGAAAGAACCAGCAACACAGAGTTAGCAGAATTTATTTCTTTTTCCTTGTTTATATCAACAATCTGTGCCATCCAGAATTGGTGTGTTATGAGGTGGGGTAGCAGAAAGGGAGAAAACCTTCAAAAAAGTGTTAAATCCTTTTTTTAAAAAAATTAGGAATAGAGCTTGTTCAAAAGGAGCATTAAACATGTGTATATAAAAATGCCCCATGAATCCAATAAGTACTTTGGTCAAGCATCATAAGGCAAAGTATTACATGGCCCCTACATACACACACACACACACACAAATAGCAGGCAAGAAGATAAAGATCTGGCAATGATTAAGAGCAGAAAAGTTGAAGAAAGAGACAGAGGGGCTAATTATGGCTGCATAAGACCAAACCTTAAGAACAAATGCATACAAAACTAGAATTTAGAAGACAGCAACAGATAGCAAATGTCATCTCCACAAAGAAGCTGAAGAAACCTAGTTAGTTGCTATAAGAAGATCACACAGACTGGTTATAAACAACAGCAGGACAAAGCAATAACAATAATGCATTGGAGTAGCTACAAGAAATACCACTTGCTCAAAAAGAAGAATTGGTGGGAAAACAAAATAGATTAATAAAAAATGAAAAAGTGTTATGTGACAAGTGTTTGCCACATAACATCTCAGACTTAACAATTGTTGATAAGAAAGACAAAAATGTCTGTATAGTGGACATGGAAGTATGTGGAGACAACAAAATAGAAGAGAAAGAACTGGGGGGGGGGGAATCAAACAATAGCACTTGCCTATCCCAGGTCCTTAGAAAAGACTCTGTAACTGGATAAAAAGGCCAAATCTAGTATAAACATCTGGCTGACTGTACGACCGTAATTAAAACAATAATAGATCCCCAGCGAGGCACTACCTTGATGTGGCTGAGGACTTATGTGTTCAAGGATGAGAGAGCTATGGCAAGGTTCAGTCATACCGGACAGGTCTCATCAGAGGATAATAATATAATAGTAGTCTGGAAACCCTGGATAGTTTGGGCAGAAAATTAATGACAATGAATCATACCCTTCATCCAGCCAGCGATGTTGACAGTTTCTCTTTACCAAGCAGCATAATGGGTGTGAAATGTTGCAAGTACCCCAATCAGTTAGGGAAGAAAAAGGGACATTGGAATATTTGAAGAACAGTGAAGAAGATGCATTGAAGGCAGTATACCAGGAAGGCTTACTGAATACCAGTGAGACCAAACTAGCCTATGAGAAAGATCAGATGAAGAACAGAAAATAAACATGACGAGACAAAGTATTACATGGCAAGTAGACACAAACACAACTAGCAGGCAAAGCTAGTTTTTTTTTAATATTTTCTTTCCTTAAGTCATACCTTCAATTTCTTTGGTTCACTGTTTCTTCTTTTTTCATCCTCTGTGTAACTGGTTATGTCAAAAGAATTACGTAAAGGGCATGAATGAACATCTGTGATTTAGTCCTGTTGTTTTATTTGGAGTTTTGATGGCTTCAAATTGTTAGGTAATGTGGTGAATTTTAATATGTTAAATATTCATGTAATTGCTGTTTTAGTTTGATGTTTTTATAAGTAGCCTGAGGGGGGAGGAGAGGGCTTTACAAAGCCTTGTGAAAGGAGTTTCAGAATTTAAAAATTATAAAATCAACATGCAAAATACAGTTTATGGCAGCCTTGACAACTTAGGACTTTATCAGCCCACCAACTGTTTTCTTCCATTTGCAGCATCCATGAAATGTTTTGTAGTTCATGCCCTCAAGGAAAAGATTACAGGAAAGAAAAACTCACAACAGAGCAAGTGTGTAGCTGGCCACAGCTGAAGGTAAGCCTGGACATTTGCCAGCAAAAAAGAAGACTCGATGGACAGTATTCTCTGAATGAGAAGTTAAATTGTTTCTCAGTATAAGGTGAAGGAGAGATATGATGGGTAACTTTTCCTGCTGCCCAGGAAGGCAAAGTCATACAAACCAGATGCTTGATAAATTGTTCTTTTTCTTCTGTTGCCTAGAAAACTTCTACCAGTCAACCCCCTTTTTCTAATAGAAGCATTTCTTTTCACCACTGAGCCATGGTGGAGCAGTGGTTAGAATGCAGCACTGCAGGCAAATTCTGCCCACAGCCAGGAATTTGATCCTGACCAGATCAAGGTTGACTCAGATTTCTATCTTCCAAAGTCAGTAAAATGAGGGCTCAGGTTGTTGGGGGCAATACGCTGACAGTGTAAACCCCTCAAGGTGTGCTGTAAAGCACTATAAAGCAGTATATAAGTCTAAGTGCTATTGCTATTTAAGTTGTGGAATCAACTTATGAACAAGGAACATTGTTATATATTCTTTCATAGCCATGAAGGAAGCACATAGCCTTCCTACATGCTAGCATTTGTTACTATACATACTATTCTTGGATACCTTTTCACATCAAACTGAAAAGAAGTTCAATTTGGCATTATGGAGGCATATACTATACATCATACAATAATCCAGGAGAATATTATGCATGGTCATCCATATGATCTCCTATTAGCTCTAATAAGCATCGGCTGTGTGATGACAGATGATAGGACTTACAGTCCAAAATCAATTAAATTAACCTGTCACCTTTATACAATAGTACAAGAAGAATGAAGCCATAGACATTCTATTCAGCAATTCAGTTTATGCTACAGGTAATCTTCAATTTAATGACCACAGCTGAACGCAGAATTTTAATTGTAAGTTTTAATAATTAAGTGATTGCCTTTGCTAGTTTCCTGGCCAGAAAGCTAGTGAAGGTGATTTTCCTCAAGTCTAGAGAAGCAATCTTTCTCAAGGCTATTCAGGAACAAGGAAGTCAGCTAGCAGAATTCCAGTTCCTGGCTAGCCTTGAGAAAGATTATAAGTGATAATTTTCTAACTATGCTTCCCATGGGGTGGGTGTGCCTGTCAGCAGCTGCAGGGAAATAGAAGGGTAAGTGGACCTAGATGTGGTGGGGCAGGGAGAAAGCTCAGGCCTCTTGGAAATGCAGGGGAGAGAAAAGGCCATGTTAGGGAGGGGGAGAAGTTGCAACCACTCCCATAGTTATTAGGATAGGTGCTCAGCCAAGCACCCAAATTTTGGTCATGTGACTGCAGGAATATTGCAAAGGTCAGAACATCTGGCAGGGGTGGTAAGTCCCTTTGTTCAGCAGTTGCTGAGTTAACTTTTGTTAAGTCAAGAACTATCTGTATTCACAGTTGGGGAAGAGATTCTTCTTTCCTTCTTCTTTTTGTTATTTTATGAACTCCTTAGATCAGTGGTTCTCAACCTTTTTAATGCTGCGACCCCCAACCGGTCGTAAGTCAAGGACTACTCAACCGGTCGTAAGTCGAGGACTACTCAACTGGTGCAGCACTATTTGCAGAATGGGACTTTTGGCAGGCTCAGCAGGGCAGAGACAGCCTGGACAATTCCTATTGGCTTTTGAAAGCCAATAGAATTATACTCTATTCAAAAGAGTCTATTCTATTGGCTTTCAAAAGCCAATAGAATAAAAGGGAATAGCACAGCTAAGGAAAAGGGGGAAAAATGGCAGACTGCGTTGTTTGGCGACCCCCATGAAATGGTCATTCAACCCCAAATGGGGTCCCGACCCACAAGTTGAGAACCACTGCCTTGGATGATAACATCATCTGAAACACTGCTATAGGAATGAACTGGACATAGTGGATCAATATTAAACTTAATTCCCCAGGACAAAGCATGTGCATATTAATTCCATTTACAAAACTACTGTTCTGTCCCAGCCTATAGCCGTCTTTGTTAAATGCACAAGGACAAAACCCCTTTTGAGAAATAGGCTGGAGACTCAGAAGAAAACAAAAATCCTTTTAATATTGGTAACAAATCTGCCAAGTGGTCCAAAAACAAAAGCAACAAAACACAATCCAAATGGAGGAAATTGTCCACCTGAAACACAATGCAAAACAAGGAATTAGTCACTGGTAATACCAACAGAATATGATCTCATAAAGTACTTTGCAACGGTTGCCTTCAGCAACCAGCACTGTCCACACCTTCCCTTTTTATTAAGCAACCCCAAGTCGTGGCTTCTTAATGAAAAGTTCTTTGGAGTGCTTTTGGAATTATATTTCTGATTACTTTGTGAATGCATTGTGTCACCAGTGCACACATACAGCTTAATGAGTCCACATGAACATTAAAAGGTCCTATGCACTGTTCACACCTTGCCATTTCACACATCACAGATGCTGCGGGATATTTTGAAATTGATAACACATTGTAGAACATTTATATTTTTGCAGCATATTTTCCACTAAAGAGCATTAATTTTATTGGCTTTTTAAAGCACAGAGGGAAAGCTTGTATAGCAAAGCTTTCAGCAGCTAACAGAACTGAAATACAGATTCGGATCATACCTCCTATTTAATGCAGGAAATCTAAAGCTTGATAATCTTAACAAATGGCTGTCTAATCCCTGATAAAAAAAAAACCTTGCCTCCAGTGCAAATGGAGATGTATATCTTGGAGATAGGCTGAATATGAGACTATAAGCTTGTCCTATTTTCATCGGTAAAGTATCAGAGAGAGATGGCACAGTCCTCAGATACTTGTACCTTTAACAGCCCATAAACTCTACTGGCCTTGGAAACAGCTTCAAAAAAAATAAAAAGGCTGTAATGGAACATTGATTGATTGACTGATTAATTATGTGCCACATAATTCTTGTTGATTCTTAGCAACCACATAGATTTTCTCCATGCCCATCTGTTTTTATTCTGGTCTTTCGGGTCTTGCACTCAGAGCCATTATAACTCACTCCACCCACTTTGCTGTTGGTCGTCCTCTTTTTCTCTTTCCTTCTACTTTTCCCAGCATTAGAATCTTCTCCAAAGAGTTAGATCTTCTCACAATGTGTTCTAAATAGGATAATTTGAGCTTGGTAATTTGTGCTTCAAGTGAGACCACTGAATTGACTGATGGAACAATTTAGCAGTTAAATTAAGTTGTAATATTATTTGTTTGACTACTCTGATGTGGGAATTCGATCATTATGGTTAGTTAACTAGAATTTATAGGTCAGAGTTATGTGTGACCCTATGTGTGAATGTATGCATCAGGGTCTCTTCGTCCCATCTTTTCTAATTTTAAACTAATTTAATGATTATGTATTGTTTTTATATTTTAATGTTTTTATTGGCTTTTAATGATTGTAAGCCAATTAGAGTTGTCTCCAGGCATAAGATGATGAATGAAAGAAAGAAAGAAAGAAAGAAAGAAAGAAAGAAAGAAAGAAAGAAAGAAAGACCTACCCATTCTGAGTATCATTCAAGTTCCACATTTAGCTGCAAAATCTGGGCACAATGCTAAATCAGAGGCAACAGAAGGCTAATCATAGACCATAGACCCAACTGTCCCAACGAGTTCTAATAGTTTCTTAACATCATCAATCGGCAAAGCCATTGTTGTCTAATGTGTTAGGGAAGGTTGGAGGTTTTATTTGCTACAGGTCTTCTGACACACTGAAAATAGTGAGTGTATGTTATATTTGACTATATCTAAAGGAAAACTCAGATTGTGCAACAATAAAATCCTGATGTCTGCTCAAATCTTGGCAAATATTTCAAAATGTGGATTTAGAATAATTCATGTTGGAAACTCTAAAAATGAAAACAGGAAAGAATAAATTTGTGTTTTTAACCTAATAAAAAATCCCCCTGTGAAAATATAATATTTCTTCAAACTTCGTTTTTCCTTTCATTGTCTCCTATTCAAATTTAATTCATGCCATCTTCTACTGAAAACTCAACACTTTCAATTAATTCAAAGCAACCTTCCATCTAGAGGCAAACACAAAAATAAGTTAAAAAAATACTGCAGTTTAATGTTTATTTAATTACCTTCTTCAAATATGGAACCCTGCCAGAGGACAGTTTGGATGGTGAGGAGAGAATTTGTTATTTATGAGTGTTCCAATTTCTCTATAAGTTGGGATCCAAATTAGACTGCATAAGAAATTCTATTCCAAATCCTTTTTTCCCCTATAAAAGTTTTATTATTTGTTTAAAAAAATTACAGTCTTTAATGCTTAGTAAACAACATGTTGTCTGGGTTCAAATATTTCACTTTAACTTCTTCAATATAAATCTGTTCAATACTACACAATCCAGTATTTGTTCCCTGATCCTCCTTCTTCATATTTTTTTCCATTTTCCTCTCATTACATCATTACAATTTTTGATACTGTTAATGTATACAAAGTTAGATATAAGCATCTTCATCATATTTTACTAATATCATACAAATAACAATAATATCAATTCACAGATCTATAATGTAATTCACTAAGCAATATTCTGTTTTTTGTGCTTTTGTTAGGGTTTGATTTCCCATCAGTATTTGAAATATCTTTATCAGTTATGATTTTCTCAATATTAATTACATTTATTCAGTTAAAAGTTTTATTCAAATCAATCCTCCTCTTATCTTCATATTTTCCATATCAAAAAAGAGAAAAAAATGCTATCTTAATTCTAACTCATATCTTTCATTATAAAAGTATAATTATATCTAAGGATCATCCATTCTTTTAATCTTATTCGAACAAGTATTTAAACCTATAATGTCCCCCTTAAAAGATCAAATCTTCTTTTTAAAAAAAATCTGACTCTTGCTTTCTTTCTTTGCCAAGTCGCTTTCCAAGCCAGGGCAATTAGATCACCCAGGAATTTTCTTTCTATTTTTGTAAAAATTGATTGGCACAAGGAAGACAATTTAGGTAGGGCATTTTGGGGGGGAAATTCTGCCCATTTATATTCCTTAAACAACTCCCAGTTCCTTTCTCCC